CAACCTTGGACCCCCCCCCCCCCTTAAATAAAATCATGATAGGACTTTCTCAAAGCTGTGAAGCTGTCTTTTCAGATGATCTTATACACAAGAGGAAAGTATATTGAGCCAAAAGCACATTTACAAAGGAGGCTATCAACTCTGCCAACATTAAAGTATTGTTATCGATTAGGGATGTAGCTAAAGATTTAAAGCTAACCAGGCTTTTTTATTAGTCAGGCTATTTTACTCAACTACACCATCAAAATTACTCCATGTCTTTGATTTCTAGAGCAATTTGAGCTGGTGGTAAGCTCTTTTACAGTCACTGAAATTAGCTGCCCGCCAGCTCTTAGAGATTTCCCTGAACAAAGATTGTGAAATGTATGGTTTCCTCTCTCTAGCTACACAATTTATTGTTCACTTTTTAAGTCCTGCCCCTGCAGCAGGCATCTTGCATTACTGATTGAGAATCTACTTAAAGTTTGTTCATCCTTGTATCATTTGCAGGTTTGCTTTGAAGTAAGTGTCCTTGAAAAACTACCAGTTACCATGCCTGAAACGGAGACAAACCCCCATGTTGTAAGAGTGGGCTGGTCAGTGGACAAGGCTAATTTACAGGTGGGTATGATTGGTTAACCCTTTAAGCCCGAAGAGTGGTCAGTATCAGATTTCTCCTTGTAACATCATATCAATGCTTTCTAAAACAGAGTAGTCATGAGAATTACGGACATGATCACACAAGATGAATTTGCTTGATATTTTATCTCAACTTCTCCCCACTACTTCTGTAGGAAATGAGTAGGGGCAACAAATGAGAATTCAAATTTTGCTCTTGGGGTTTAAAGGGTTAAAGGTACTTTTACTACCCTGTGTTCTTTCAGCTCACATTGTTCTTTCATATGGGATCATTTACTTATACTCTACTTTGAGACGTGTGCTCTTAACACCTGGAATCTGGATCTAGAGGTCCAGGGTTCAAGTCTCACCTGTCGCCTTGTTTCCTTAGTCAAGAAACTTTATTCCCCTTTGTCTCTTCACCCAGGTGTGTGAATGGGTACCAGCGACGTACTGTGGGGGCNGGAGACAAACCCCCATGTTGTAAGAGTGGGCTGGTCAGTGGACAAGGCTAATTTACAGGTGGGTATGATTGGTTAACCCTTTAAGCCCGAAGAGTGGTCAGTATCAGATTTCTCCTTGTAACATCATATCAATGCTTTCTAAAACAGAGTAGTCATGAGAATTACGGACATGATCACACAAGATGAATTTGCTTGATATTTTATCTCAACTTCTCCCCACTACTTCTGTAGGAAATGAGTAGGGGCAACAAATGAGAATTCAAATTTTGCTCTTGGGGTTTAAAGGGTTAAAGGTACTTTTACTACCCTGTGTTCTTTCAGCTCACATTGTTCTTTCATATGGGATCATTTACTTATACTCTACTTTGAGACGTGTGCTCTTAACACCTGGAATCTGGATCTAGAGGTCCAGGGTTCAAGTCTCACCTGTCGCCTTGTTTCCTTAGTCAAGAAACTTTATTCCCCTTTGTCTCTTCACCCAGGTGTGTGAATGGGTACCAGCGACGTACTGTGGGGGCGGGGGGGGGGGGAGTTGGGTGGTAACCCTTCGATGGACTAGCATCCCATCCAGGGAGGAGTAGTAACACTTCTATCCCAGTTTCCTTAGCATGAAGCATGCCTAAGCTCTAGAAGTTTCCACCTTTGACTTGGTGCGTCTTCACCTTACCTTACCCACTTTTCTTACAGGTTGGAGAGGATAACTTGTCTTATGGTTATGGTGGTACTGGAAAGGTTTCTGTAAACAACAAGTTCTTTGACTACGGCGAGCCTTATACAACAGGCGACATCATAGGTTGCTGTATAGACCTTGATGCTACTCCCAGGGCTATACTTTTCACCAAAAATGGCAATTACCTTGGTGTGGCATTTCGCCTTGGACCTGAGACAAATGGACAGACATTTTTCCCCCATATCACCGTTAAGAACATGCGTCTCGCAATAAACTTTGGACAGTTTCAGCCATACTTTCCACCCCTTCAGGGATTTAGCCTGCTCTCGTGCATGCCACCCCAATACTTAGAAAGGGGATCAGTGGGTCCTTTGTCAAGAGGAGAATGTGACATTATTATGATGGTAGGATTACCAGGCTCTGGTAAGACATTTTGGGCCGAGAAATACGCCAAAGATCACCCAGAAAAGAAATTCCATATCTTGGGAACAAACACAATAATGGATAAAATGAAGGTGATGGGGTTGATGAGGAAACGCAACTACCACGGCCGCTGGGATGCGCTCATTAAACAAGCTACAGATGTCTTAAACAAAATATTTAAAATTGCCGAGAGGAATAATCGGAACTACATTCTTGATCAAACCAATGTATATTTCACTGCGCGGCGAAGAAAGATGAATAACTTCCATGGGTTCCATAGAATTGCGGCTGTGATTGTAAACACGAATGATGTTCTAAAAGAACGGACGGAGAAAAGAGAAAGAGAAGAAGGAAAGGTTGTCCCAGAGTCTGCTGTTCTTGAGATGAAAGCAAACTTTGCTCTCCCTGAAGTTGGAGATACTTTTGATGATGTTTGGTATATTGAAGAGGATAAAGCCAGCTCAGAAGGCCTCGTGGCCCAGTTCCAACGTGAAGGGAAAGAGTTCAAAGAGAATGAGAAAAAAAGAAAACCTGATGAAGTTTCAGCATCAAGCGGGAATACATCTTCTGAAATTAAAAGACAACGCCCTGAGCAAGCAGGCCATACAGCACCTTCATATCACAGTCATCAAGGTCAGCGTTCTGGCCAAAGTGACCGTACTGGTTTCCATGGTAACTATCAATCAAGAGATCAAAGAGGAGCATCACATGACAAGCCCTTTTATGGAAATCCACCAGATGCCCGTGCAGCACCCATTAGACCAAGAAATGATCATGGTCCTTTTCAGCCTCCTTCAGGGGAAACCAGAGAACCACATAGGGTATATAATCAAGGACCTCAGCCCAGATACAATGACTATAGTTACGGGTCCTCATATGGACCACAAGAAAACTATGATCGAAGTCAGCCCCCTAGTGATAACAGATATCAATCTCATTACCAGCCACCTATGACTAGCGATAATTACCAGTATTACCAAGGATCAGGTGGTCACAGATATCAATCAAATTATCAACTGACTGAAAACAGGTATGGTCCACCTCCATCCTCACAGTATAACCATAACCAGTACGCTGCACAGTCATACCAACAAGGACAGGACTATTACTCAGGGGGAGTAGGAAGAGGTCCGGTACCCTCTGGTGGTCAGTATGGTCAGTATGGATATGGTGGAGGATATTAGTCAACACATTTTATTAGCATAAAACGTCAAAGAGACGTTTGTTTTACCCTGTATTGCACACGCTTGCCTAGGAAGAGACACAAGGTCATAGTTAGAAGGCCCTCTTTTTTAAGCTTTATGCATGTTTTAAGGCCTCTTTATGGGCTATTGTCACGAGGATATTAAACAATTATTCCTCGAGCCCAAATGGGCTCTGAGTCAATTGCCCACGAGGCCGAAGGAATGGGCTATTGACACAGAGGCCATGAGGGCTAGAGGAATAATTGTTTTATTAAAATCCAACTAGTCTGTCAAAAATATCGAGACAAAACAACTTTAGCTAGCAAAACGCGATTCAGCCACCATTGTTTTGGTTTTCAAAGTCGGCGCTCTTCGCTACTAGTGGGCCATAACATATAGCCTAGTAGAAGCTCGACCAAACAGAACACAGCATTGATAATAGACCACTAGTTGGATTTTACTGATGATACTTAGTGCCTCAACCAATACTCAAAATACTGCAGTAGAGTTATGAAGACGATATAAAACAGGGAGCACTGACCATAATGTTTTGGGTGATTTTTGCAGCATAGCATTAAAACTTGAACAACCTGGTCCAACTTTTTCAGGTTTCAATCATTTTCCATTCTCGCCATCCTTTGCAACAGACGACAGGAAACAGTTTTAGTGCCTAATAGGCTTAAGTAGCAATACTGGACCATTATTTTTGGGATTCAATTGACGCGGAAAAGTTTTAGCTTTTTTAAAAATAGCAAGTAGCGTGACATAAGCCCTTGACATGGAGCGTAACAGACGTACGCAGCATTTAACTTAAGAGAACTTAGCATTTTCGTGCTTTTTGACTACCTTAGCCAACTCTCTGTTAGACAGCAACCACTAAGACCGGCCGTCGGCGCGTGTCCCCTTACGAGCCAAATCAAAAGGACAGAAGAACACCAGGGATCTTATTATAACAGCTATTCGTTAGAAGACAGTTAACTGCATTATTATTTTTTAAGTTTAAAACTGTTAATTCGCAAAGCAAAAATAGTTTATGTAAATAGATCGCGCCACGTAACAAGCGGGGATTATTGCCAAGCTTCATACTGAAATAACACTCTTATACAGATTGAACCAGGTCTGTATCATTTTTACTAATACTGAGAGCTGTTTATAATGTCTTCTCAAGTTTGCCAGGCTTTGCCTCCCATTGCTTTTCCGTTATTTCTTTTGTTTTCGTCTTAAGTTTTAAGCTATTTTAAAATACCAGCCAAAAACTGATGATGAGTGCTAAAATTGGGTGACCCAGTCTCTTCAGTGAAAATTGATATATAGAAGATGCACACAAGTATGTTGGCGATGCTACCCTTTTTTGCCATAACGTTTATGACACATCCTAGCTTATTGACATGTGTGTGATTTTACACTGCCAGAATAGCGTGCAAGCGCTTTACTAGCGCTTTACTAGCGCTTTACAGGTACTCTTTTTAAGTAACGGCCATCTGATTCCAGGGTGGAAACTTTTTGTTTAAAACGTTCCCTTTAATAGCCTGCAGGTAAGTCTTCAACTCATACCGGGGTGGGGTGTGTCTAGGAAAGCGATCAGTCCTTTCCCTTCCCCACCCCCCTTGCACGCTGACCTTGTAAATATACGTTACGTTCTCTGGCGTTTTGTACTCGCGACGTACTGAATGTATCCAGTAAAACTAACATTTGAGAAGAAAACTATAGTCATATTACAAACGCATGGTGAAATTAAAGGGTCTGTTATTTTATCTGTTGTGACCAGAAATAAAACACAAGGGAAAGACACAACTTTCTTGAATTCCTTTCTCAAATTAAAAGCCGTCCCTCCGTCTCTTACCCTGAGCGCAAGAGGTTTTTATTTTTTTCTTTCCTGGGCACGGTTTCCCCCATTCAAGATATTTTGAGAACGGACCTCTGGAGCCAGGGTATCCGTCTTAAGCCCGGCTCAGCAGAGATTGTTATGACTTCTTAAAAGTTAAAATCGGCGTTACCCTTGCGGACGTGTTTTCTCTCGTGTGCGCATGCGCAGCAATTCTATATTTTCGGATAAAAAGAGAACTCACTGGTATACAAATAGTCAAATATATTTGCCATGCCACGTGAGAGAAACACTTTCCATTTCGTTTCTTTTACTACAGAACCAAGGAAGAATACCCTTAGCCAAACCATACATACACACATGCGGCAACTATAGAATTACCTTATTCAGTTTTGTCCACTCCATAGACTTTTTCATTAAAATATATTCTGCACCAAACAGTTATCATATCGGCCTTAAAAATAACTATCTCTAGGTAAACCAACCAATAAAAAAACCTCATGGTCGTCAAGTGATACACAGGATAGTATTTTCCCGCGCTTTGTAATGTTTGTACGTTTTCCTGCACTCGACGGGGAGTATGTTCTATTACATTAAATACACCAATTTTAAGTTCTCTTCGCATCGTATTGAAAACTTAATTCGCTCCTCTCGACTTAAACTTGGAAGGAATTCTCCTGTTCCGGGTGTGTCTGATAGAATTCCATACCACTGTCCTTTCAAATGGAATTAATTCAGAATAAATACTATGATACAATTCGTTTTTCTCTCTCCCTCTCTCTTTTAAGAAACTTGCTCCATCTCTTTCAAATCAGGAGAAACCTGGTAAAAGAACAGGTATAAGAGAGAAGGTAAAAAACAAAGTTGTACGTTGTTCAAGATTATATCTTTTATGCCGTGATAGTTTAAGCCGAATTTACAGGAGGTAACTTTCCTTGTCAATAAGAAAAAGAGAAAAACTTTCTCTCGAGTAATAAAATTCAGCTGGAGATACGTTTAAAAGTTTAATTACTTACTTCAAAAGAGCAGCCAGTGGAGATCTGTATATCTTGAATAGGAACTCCTGGCCATAACTCAGTGAGAATCAGACCGTTTTCTTTGCTAACTTCAAACACACACTACAGCAACAAGAAAGCAGGAAGTAAAAAATAAATTGGCGTTAAAATTTTTAAATGGTCCTTAGTGTTGGAGAGTATGGATTGGAAGGGTATATTTCGCGTTCAATTGGGCATGCATGGCTCTGCAACGATCAATCACTTTAGAACCTAACATGCAGAGCATTCGGATTTTTAACGAAAAGGCCAGAGGTACAGTATATCGATCGCGGCTGCCATCTTGAAAGCAAATAAAAAACTAGGGAGGAGAGGCGGGCAAGGGGGAGGGGTCTCCCCTCCTCCCCTCCCCTGCCCTCCTTAAGCCCGTCAGCCGGTCCCTTGAAATTACTTTTTTGACTCGCCCCAACTCTCTGCCAGTTTTAGAGCATTTTCAAGCCGAAAATCGCGATGCAGAATACGCCTGCTCTGCGGACTACTGAGAACCGTGCCGTTAAACAACCTACCTTTTCTGTGATAATCATATCTACACAGTTCGTTCCCGTCAAGGGTAGGGTGCAGTTTTCTAGGATCTTGTGTTTGTCTCCCTGAAAATGATAATAAAAAAGAGACAAGCAAGTTAAGACTTTGTTAATATGCCCCCCAAACGGAAATTATATCGGCCTTTAAAAATAACTTTCTCTGGATATACCAACCAATAGAAAACCTAATGGCCAGTCACGTGATGCACAAGACAGCATTTTGCCGCGCTTCGCATTGTTTAAACGTTTTTCGGTACTTGCTACGTAGCACGTTTCCACTCCATTAAATAGACCAAATTTTACTTCTTTTCGCACCGTTTTAAAAACAGATTTCTCTCCTCTCGAGAAGAGATGGTGGCGGCCAACTCGAAAGCGTATGTTGCTTTGACCACTAAACACATCCACTTTTATACCACCTTAAAGCAGAGAAATGTTTTTCGTCTACAAACCTTTGCTAAATGTTCCATCGTGACAATGACTTTGGAGTCACTAGAGACCAGGTCCATTGCTCCGCCCATTCCCTTCACCATCTTACCCTGTCAATCAATCAATCAATCAATCACGCCGATCAATTACAATCATTTCTACACTTGACTTCTGCTTCAACGGTTCCACCTCTCAGGAAATAACTATCCCATTTTTGCAAACAACAAAAGTGATCATAATGTTGGAACATAGACCAGCATGATTTTTGCGTCGAAATTTGATGCCAGTGGGCTGGCAAACGTCAGCTCGGCTCCGCATCTTTCGCATTTGTTGTAGCAAACGTATACTGAAACCAGCTTTCACAAAATCAAATTACTTATTCCGTCCATAAGCTAGACAAGAAAGCAGCATTTTAAAGACCTGAAAGCTTACAAAGCAATATGGCAAATATGGCAAGTTAATACTTACTGGAATCATCCAGTTAGCAATGTCTCCAAACTGTGACACCTGCATGGCCCCAAGAATTGTTATATCTATGTGGCCGCTAAAAAAGAATATAGAAAGAACTTATTATTTCGTGACAGGATTAGCTGAGTCGGTGGAGCGCTTGCCTTCCGAACGGGATGGCGTAGGTTCGATTTCGGGGGCCGGGCCAATACTCATGGCCTTACTCAAACGGCTAGACCCTTGCGTGGCTTGGATGACCACGTAAAATGGCAGCCCCGTCCGCTCCAGTAGGAGATGTAAAATAGTGTCCTCAATTGGTACTTTCGTGCTATATACATCGGCACTCGAATAAAGTGCTTTTTTTTGTTGAATACGGTAGTTTATATCTTGTTAACGATCTAAAGCGTAGAATGGAACCCCTTGAAACCCTTCCGCATTCAAAATTTGCTTACTTCATCTACTTACCCTCTGATCATGGCAAAAGATTCTTCACTTGAAAAATATGAGCTGCCGGGTAAGACAGTCACTGTCTCTTTGCCTGGAAAATATAAAAAAATACAATACTGATTACTAAGTATGTTCCGGAAAGATGGGATTATAGATGAAGTCGAGTATCGGTCAAAAACTAAACAAGGCTAATAAGCCGACGGCAGCGAAGGCGAGCGAAAAAGAAGAGGACATGGGCGAGGGGGGCGTGGTAAAGTCTAATTGAAGCTGTTGGTGGGGTAC